CACGAAGAATTCTATGCACTGGTGATGTTCTTCATCGAGCGGCATCACCTTCGTAAACACGGTTGGTCCGGTTCCAAGTATCGCCATGGTACACCCTTGGCTGACATGCCGGCTATCTCATAGGTGCCTCTTTTGCCGAGAATTTCTACGGCCTCAAGCGTCGACGGAGACCATTGTTCTCCACGGAAAGGGCCGACGCTGCTGCAGGAACCAGCGCAATGGCTAACGAGAGTCGTCTGGGGAAGAAAGAGGCAAGATTAAGTTTACTGTTTTTGGTAAGCGGTGATCCGAGTGGAGGGGAAACGACATATGCTGAGCGGCATGGTTGTTCAGGTCGGCATTCCTTACATTCGGGCCAAGGCCAAAGACTATTGGGAACAACTGGGAGGTGGAGTTGACGTCGGTGATCTTGAGGGAACCGTTCCAAGGCGAAATGTTGAGACGCAGGTGAGCTGGTTGGTTGACTGTCCCAATGGGTTCGAAAGCTCATTGCAATCTTCTAGTCGATGGTGGACCGCCTGAGAGCCATGTTCAAAATCATCTATCCATGGGCCGACACCGCGTTTGAATTATGGATGATGTCCTACAACATTGGTTATCTTTTTGACCGAACACCATTCTACCGGCCGTGGCTCAAATGGATGGGTGTTGATATCCGGCGAATGGGTCCGGAAGATTATGTGAGCTCTTTTATCAACTAATTACGCTCCCCAGCTCATCTCCTACGGCAGCAACAACCTGCCCCGAGTTCGGCCGGAAAGACGTCCCTCCAATCGTCACGCAACGTGTTTACACTCCTCAAATCGTTCCTTTTCCGCACTCCATCCTTCCTCCTCGACTCCCTCAAGATCCTCCTACCGCTGTCAATATTCTTCGTCAAGTTCCTCGAATGGTGGTACAGCCCGACATCACCCGCCCGGGCTCTTCATGCGAAAACGGACAACGGGCCTTTACTGCCACAACCAAAAGTCCTCAAGCCCCACTCGAACGGAATTCTCGGCGCCCATCCACACGAAATATACAGCCGGAAGCAGAAGAAAGGAAGCGAGAATGAGAACGCTGGCCTGCGATACGGAATCTGCCCTCTTTGCGATGGCCCATTAGCCAACGCAACCGCGCTACCGTCGGGCTATGTTTTCTGCTACAAGTGCATCTTTGAAGAGGTGGAGAAACATAGTCGCTGTCCGGTCACTTTGCTTCCCATGCGGACTTGGATGCTGAGGAAAGTGTTGGTATGAACGCGACGGCATGATCTGCATTTGCAATCGTGGACATTATATTACTTATTAGTTTTTTTTTTACCCGGTCTTAGTTTTTTCTGTCATGCTTTCGCTCAGTGTTTCTGCTAGACGCCACTCAATATCAGTTAACCAGACGAATTCAAAGTTATGCAAGTTCGCTTGTTCCTCGACTCTAAATTTGCGTCGCCCTGCGACTTTGAGATCAGATATATAGTTACCGAAACGCGTTAATGCACCCCCCGCACAGCATCTGCCAAGTCGGGGTAGGGTGTTGTGGTCTTGGTCGACGTCATCGGATAAACGCCAAGCTGCTCGGACAGCGACGATCTACCCTGGTCGGGGAACGATATTGAGAATTAACTCAAGAGTAGTTCAAGGGTTCTGTTCGACCTGTCTGAAGGCATTCTTTGGTGGGGTCCAGGATTCCGACCAAGCGGAGAAGTTTCCTCGACAGGTTGTTCTCAGGAGCTGGGCGTGTGAGTTTCAATTTCGCCGAGAGTGTCGTTGTGGACCGACGAACAAGGACCCTTCCCCTTTGCATCAAATATGGATGGTCTCTCCGAGCGTCAACCTTTTCTTACCCAACCACCACCGTCCTCCCGACGACGTCCAGCTCGTTTGCTCGACCCTGGCATAGCTGGCACCTCCTTGAAAGGCGTTCTTCGAGTTCATCCGGCTCAGCGACAGAACTTCGCTTCGTCGCGAAATCCTCGCCGCCAAGGATAGTTCAACAAAAACGTTGGTTCCCTTCCAACAACTCCCTCCTCACGACCTCGGACCCCCTTTCTGCTCGCTACGATGTACCGTTCGCTGTGGACGATCGTCCTGGTCGCCCTAGGCTTTGCCGCCACTGGTCTTTCTCGTCCACTGCAGAAGCAGCGACCTTCCTCCAACCTCGGTGTTCGTGACGTGGATGTACCCACACTCTCTTCGCTCCTGCCTATTGACAGCGCACTCCTCGAACTTATAAGAACCAGGGCAAGAGATGTGTCTCTGAAGTCATGGGAGTTGGGTACTTTGGCGGAGGCATATCTGGAAATTGGTGAGTAAAGTTGCTTCAGAGTCGGTGTTAAGAGCCAAGCTTCACGAGCCGTACTGCGCTCTTCGAGCCATGACTTGACTTGACACTTGAGTTGCTCGAACTTGTGCATGGTGCTAAGGCTTTTGAACGGTGGAACGGGGTGTCCGACACCTACCGGAGTGGGCATGCACTTACTACCGCATCACGCCTAGCTTTGGGACAACCTCGGTTAACCTGCATGTCTTGTTTTCTCATAGACTGGCCACAAATGAGTGTATACGGACCAACCGGCGTTCCTCCAGCCCGCGACGTCGGTGGAACAGACAATCCCAACAACATCACCACCGTCCTCGAGCTAGCGAACTAGTGAGTCCCCTGCGTAAAGCAAGAGCTCACTTAGCTCATTCCTACCCGTAGTGCGATTGCCATTCGTCCAATAGGCTCGGTCACACTGTTCCAAGACAGCTCGGTCGGGGACCCCGCTTCCCTCGGAGTCGCCATGCTCATGGCCAATTGGACGAAAGCCTCGAGACCGGACGAAGCGAACAACGACTACGATGGCCCACTGCGACAACAGCTCGGATACGTTTTGAACAGCGCTCCCAAGACCCCGGACGGCGCGATTAGCCATAGAACGGAACAAGTTCAACTTTGGTGAGCGTTCCATGCGGGCACATGTCTTCGAACCCAACCTTACACGCTTTACCCCCAAGGTCCGACTTTGTCTACATGACGCCGCCGTTCATCGCTTATTACGGCGCTCTCTATCAGCCATACGTCCATCAATGGCTCGTGTATACTTCGTACGATCAGATCCGGTTATACCGCAATTACTTGTTCGATTCTACCGTCGGATTATGGAAGCACATTGCACTAGGTAACTTTACCGACGACGGACATTGGAGCACAGGTGAGTGATCGACTCTCTCCTTGTTTGTCACTTCCTTGGCGCAGATGTCCTGACCTGCTCGACCTTGGCAGGCAACGGCTGGGCAGCTGCTGGCATGTTACGCGTCTTGGTGACAATGAACCAAACAACGCTCGGGTATCAGCCTCAATTTGTGGCAGCTCAGCGAGATCTGCAGAACTGGGCAACGGAAATTGTGAATAATATCTGGACGCACCAGGTGAGCGACGGGAAAGGAATAGGCCTCGACCCAAACTAACTCTTATTCACCCTACCAGCAAGCCGATGGCTCGCTTTTCAACTATGCGACGGATCCCAACACCTTCTCGGACTCTGCGTCAACCGCACTACTCGCCGCTGTAACGTTCCGACTCGCCGCCTTACCCTCGTACCTTCGTGGACCACCAGCGAATGCCACTGTGGACCCCACCCTGCCAGCAAACCCAACAGTCGACACGTCCACTCTACCAGCGCTGATCGAATTAAGTCCTGCCTCGGTTCGGGCTGCGCATTTGGCTCGGGACTGCGTGCGGCAAAGACTGAACACCACCGACGGCTGGCTCGCCCAAGTTGTCGACCCGTACAGCTTTGCCAACCAACAGGCGAGCGGGCAGAGTCCGGAGGCGGAAAGCTTTGTTCTCATGATGGAGGCTGCTTGGAGAGGTTGGAAAGACTTTGTTTTGGCGCAGTCGACATAATGAAGGAATGACCGGTGGGTATTATTCATATCTCTCCCATAGACTCGGATTGACCTTGGGAATGGCGGCACCGATCCTACAGGAAAAACTTCACCATGACTACCCACGGACTGCTCGGATCAGCTACTATGTTTCCACGCACGTTTCTTGATGGACATTGCCGCCTTTACGTTCTCCTGCACTGTATCCTTACGCTAGCCTTTGTTATTTCGTTCCACTTGCTGTTCTCATTTATTTGGAAATTATCGCTTTGTCTCTAATGAAGTCTGGCGTAGTACTACTTTCTGCAGGATCTCAAGCAGCGGGGTTTAGCGAGTTGAGCTCCCAAATCGCATCAACTAAGATTTACTCCGCACTTTAGCGCGAGCACATCTGTTCGTGCCGCGATACAGCTCATTACGAGCGATTTATATACCGAAACCAAACATCACGTAAAGCAGTCTGATTTATCGCACTGGCAGTGCGTTGTCCCTGGTCTGGATTCCATTAGGTGGACCCAGAGGCAGAAACGTCTGCTTTCATGATGGAAGCAGCCTGATTACAGTCAAAGGAATATGTTCTGGGAGATTTGGCTTAATGATGAGAATGATCGGCGAGGACTTTTTATGGGCTTTTCCCTTATTGGACTTGGACCGATCTATCATATATCTGCGATTATTACACAGAAAACTTTGGTCCAAACCGACTACTCACGAATTAGACAAGATATTCAGAGGAGCACTTCACGTTCTCGGACACTACAGTAGTACCTGCACCCGTATGGTATTTATGAAACGACCTTGTCGATTCAGGTTCAATATATCGACTTCTGTTGCTTGGAGCCAGGCGAGAGCATCCGAGTTTCTTCAGGATAATGGAAACAATCCTCTTTGCGGCGAGAATCCCGTTTCTGACTGAATTAGTTCATTTCACACAGCGTTGTAGCAGCGACAATTTCCCTCCGACTTTGATAAGAAATGAACCTATCTATTGTTCCTTATTTTCTTTTGCTAAAACTTGGGGAAAAATATGAGGGATTTATCAACTAGTCCTTTCAAAAAAAGACTTTTTGGGGGCTTTCCGGGCTAGTAGGCCCAAAAAAAGAAGAGGGGAAAGACCACAGATTCGAAAAATCAATTAAATAGTAAAAATAATGGATGATATGGGAGTCGAACCCATGACCTCCTCAACGCAGCCGTATTTGGGTTCAACTCCCAAACAATCCAGAATGCAAATGAGGCGCGCTACCACTGCGCTAATCACCCGACTCTAGTTACTTAATACCTATGAAAAATTATATAATGATTTTATCTTTCTTCTTAATCTTGTTCTTTGTCGGCCTGAAAGAAAAGGGATGGGGTCACAACATCAGCAAGAGGACATCAAAAAT